AAATGCAAAGCCCTTTGAAATATACAAAACAATTTTTTTTACAAAAATTCAAAACCCTTCAATATACTGAGTGATATAATTTTAATTTTATACAAACAACAGCCTTTATCTGACAAAAATCTTTAAAGGCACCACGCTATTGTAATTCATAATTTACTAATTCGTTTTTATTAGGGAGTTTCAAATTGAACCAAAAATAGTAAGAAACCAGTTTCCTTCTTAAATATCAATCTTCCTCTGAGTGTTTTTTAATAAACAAGAAATAATAATAATCTTGTTTTAATAAACAAGAATAAAACAAGAAATATTTTCTACCATGAAGCTACTACTATCTTTAATAATTCTTATCAATAATCAATGAAATATTTTCTGGAAGAAAAAATTTAGAATCTCAAATTAATAATAATCAAGTAGTAATAACCTAAGAGGGCAAAAAGAGAAAAGGAGAATAAGAGGAAGAACTGAAGAAAGAAACTGCATCATGTAAAGAGAATTTTAAGTACTTAACCAAGAGGCAAATAACTTTAGGAGTTTGCGACTGTGTGAATGATATAGAAAAGTGCAGGTGTTGGGAATTCACACCTCTAACACAAAATTTTTGTTAAGTAAATATTTATGGTAAGGAGAGGGTGGCTGACGCCTGGCTGACAGGCAGCTAAATAAGTTGAAGGGGAAAATCTGATGATAAGACTACCTGATCAAGAGTACGAATTGCTTCCTCTGAAGATTCATAATCTGAGAGTTTAATCAAAGCCTCTGCTTTCAAATGAAGACAAAGATTCTTCTGATGAAGACTGCCACCAGACACACCAAGATTATCTATGTTCTTCAGACCTGACAAAATTAAAGACATCTGAATGAAGACAGCCATACCACTTCACTGTTCTTTTTCTTTTTAAGGGTAACACATAACAAATTGCAGATACAGCAAGAATACAATATTGCCAAAACAATACACATGAGGAATAATTCAAAGCTAAATATAAATTCTTCCCTGAACTCTTTATGGAAATACCTGAATTTAAAATAGAATAGATCTAAATTTAAAACCTCTATCTTCACATAACATAACTGAACATCCTGAAACACAACAATGGCTATCTATATTTTGCTACATAACAAAGGTGAAGCCTTAGCCAAAGCATCTCTAACAAAAATAGCACATTAAGGATAATAGAAGGGGAAAGAAGCTGAATTAAGATGAACCACAGTGTTTCAAGGCCACCAGCTGCATCAAGAGCAGTGAATCACTTTTTATGTTTTCCTGTCCCTGCACCTGACTTACATGAACACATTCAAATAGGCTCCAGGATACCCTTGTGTATCTATTATCTACATTAGGGGAATCAAGAATCTACATTAGAGTGAAGGTCAAAGGACACACCCAAAACTTCCCTGTTACAAAGACAGGGCATCACCATCTTTGCCTAAACCGACTTTGTCAAAATTCCAAGTAGAGGAAACCTTTGATAAGAACTTGTTGTCAATTTAAAAATAACTATACTAGTGGGCATGCATAGAGACTTGAACTTTTTTTTTTAACCTCCTCAATGAAATTTAAATTAGTTGGCAAATTAAAATATAAAATATAGCATCTGGGTTTTAAAACCATTATCTTTCTCCTTGAAATTGAGAAGAAACAGAGTCGACCATCCTTAAAGATGTCAAGAATACCTTGACTGCATGAAAGAATAGCTTCCTTAGGTTTATGCATTTTGACTTGGGCTTCTGCGAGACGATACCATCCAGTTGTGCAGAGAGGGCTTTCCTGTAACCCTAAAGGGGTAACAGCAATCACAAAATCCAAGGTTTCCATTACTAGTTAGATAAATGGCACCACCATCTACTCCCCAAATCAGATGCCTCCCCTCTCCCTTGTCTCCCATGTCTAATCAATCACAAAGTGACACTGATTCCATAAGTCAATCCATTTCTCTGCCACCACTACTTCAGTTCAGACCTCCATCATCTTCGTCCCAGATCACTGCAAGCGTTTGCCACTCCAATTCATTCTCTACACTATAGCCAGAATATTTCTAAAAACACAAATGGGATTATGAAATTGCCCTGCTTAAAACCTCCCACTGGTTCCCAGCTGTGCTTTCGATAGTATGCAAACTCTTTAATGAGGTTTGCAAGGCCTCTATCCAGCCTCAATTATTGCCCCTTCTTTCTCCCATACTCATTCTCAAATCTTGCTGAAGTACCAGGAGTTCCCTGAACCCCAGCTTTCCTCTCACCTCAGGCTATTTCATCTCGTGACCTTCAGTGCTCCTCCCACCACCAGGCTTATATATTTGTCATTCAGATTTCAATTCAAAAGAAAGTTCATCAGGAAACCTCATGCCTGACAAGACTAAGTTAAAGCCTCCTGAAGATGGAGATGTTATCCTTATTTGACAAATGAAAGCACTGAGACAAAAAGAGTTTGCTTAACTTTTCTAAGGTCTTGAAATTAGTGAGTGGCAAGTGCAAATTCAAACTTAAGCAGACTCCAGAGTAAGTATAAGTACATTGTTTTGCTCCTATCTTAAATATATATTCCTTAAAGAAAAGCCAAAAGATAAACACCTGCTGACTGAGTAACAGCTCTACTTCATGTTATATGCTACATACTCTATACTTACCTTCTGTTAAGTTCTTAACAGCATCTTCGTATTTTTTGTCTTGTAATGCTTTAATGCCTAAACCAATGAGGCCTGGACCACTTTTTGAATCCATTTCCACTAATCTATAACAATACTGTTCTCCCTCATCAGTAACACTTCCTGGAATTAAAAGAAAAAGTTATTAGCATACATATACCAGTATGTGCCAAAGCCCACATACTGAAATCTCAAAGGCTGTCATACATGTACATCTGCACATCCTGATTCCAAGAGTTCAAAACTTAAATAGACCAACAAATGTAGAAAATATTAACATTTCATGAAGAACATTACGCTCCTTCCTCTTCTTAAATACTGGAAGTAAGAACCCTTCACCCACAGCAGTATTCGTAAACTGAACCCGCAGTCATACTCAAGGGTTTCAAACAAGAAACCTACCGGGACTTGCCACCAGGCTAAGACTCAGGGCCCACTGCCTGCCACCAGCTCTCCCCTTCCTACTCAGCAGTAACAATTTTGGCTGTTAGATGAAGGAATTGACAGTCTCTTCGCCAGTCTCTCTCCCTGGGGAACAACGTGCTGCTAAAGATGGGACAGCCAAGATGCCAGACGCAGTGGACTTCTCCAGCATCCTAGGATTAAAAGACAGCCTACTCGGTAGGACACTATACAAAGACTTAGTCACATTCTTCTTAAGCTGACAGGTGCAGCAGCACATTTCTGCATCCTTTCAAAACTTTTTTTCCTATATAAGTTAACAGTTAAGCTCACATAATAATCCTCCAATGCCTACATTTATGTGGAATTTACTCTGGTAAAAATATTTGGTTTAGAAAATATGGTAAGTTTTATTTCCATTTTCTCCAACCTCAGTCAATCTCACGATTCCTATTCCCAGAAAAGCATAAAAATATGTGATTTCTGTTTTGAAAAAAACTGTGAATAGCATTCACCACTTTAATAAATTGTTTGATCACATAGGAAGATTCTTAAAAAGTAACTGAGACAGACTACAACTTAAAACAATAAATAAGGGGAACAAATAAAAATAATTTATCTGAAAAAGAGACCTGATGCTTTAATATCTATATAAAACATATCATCCCAAACCACATACATGGAACCACTGTTTCAATCACAGATGTCAAAGGTGAATCCTTTGCATGATGTCATTTAGGTTACATATTTCAAATTTTTCAAAACCAGATATACACCAGTACATATTTCCTAGGTAATATTTTATATATTAATGTAGAAATCCAAGTTAGCATCAAAAATTAGAAGAATTCATGACGGCTAAAGAATTAAAACTTCAATACTATTTGGTGGAATACGAAAATAAATCGGAAGAAATACTACTTTGGTTAATAAGCTGGAAAAAAAGACACGAGCCTGCTTCTAGACATGAATTTCCTTCTGTCAATACGTTCTCATTCTCACTTCCATAAATATAAATTCCAAGAATAGACATCTCTAGTTCCATATACCCCCTATCCTCCAAATGCAAACCACTGGGAGTTCCCCTCGCTTTCTATCCAGTGCAATTGTCTGAAAATCTAGACATCAGAATAACCTGGTTCACTTGGTAAAACACATGCTGAAAATAAAAATGCTGAGTCCCACTCTCAAAGTTTCTGATTCAGTAGGTCTGGTATTAAATCTGAGAATTTGCATTTTTAACAAGTTCTTGGGTGATACTAATGCTACTGGTCCAGAGATCATACTTTAAGAACCACCAGCCTACTGTATTTACCAGTACCATATACCACCTGTATTACTAGTTTTATAACATAAAAATGCCTGCCTTTGTTGACTCTGTAGCTAAATGGTAATTTCTGAAGGGTAAGGAACAGTATGGGATCTTGTCTATGGCAGACATTCACTAAATATAATCATCCTTTAAAAATATCTTTCAGAATAGATGTCCCAAAAGGCTTAGTCCATTAATAGATAATGGCTGAGAATTACTATGAAAAATTAAAAACCTTCAGCATTCGAAAAAAGAAAATAAAATGGCTATTAAAATTCTACCTTTAATTTCTACCCAACTGAGTCAAAACTCTCTTACTCCATAGAAACATAATTCATGACAGACCAGTGTGGCTAGAAAAACTACCCTTATTACAGAAAACATACCTGGTATGAAAAGAAGGAAAGCCAATCACGCACCTTTCCAATGATCATCCACATTTAGGGTCACTTAAAAACTGCATATAAGTAAGCAAAGTGTGCATAGGCACATGATAATAATTTCCAAAAGGCCTAGGATGAACACAAATTTTCTAATATATTGGGAGCACAATTGCTAACATCTGGGAGCACAATTACAGAAACAAAAAGAGATTTAGGCCTTGGTCTCTACATATGACCACGGGGCACTTAGAAGATTTCTCTATAGTATTTCCTAAAACCATTAACAGTAATAGCAACACTAGTCATCCTGTGTAAAAAGACAGGGAATATTCAGCCTTCAACTCTCAATCCATTTCTTCTCCATCCTAATTCTTGTTGAAAATATACCTAAATAAATGTGGAGGATAAAAACAGAAATGAAATAGACTTCATTGTTTTTGAAAAGAAAATAATTTATTTAACTTATCTGCCCTTTTAACATTGAAAAGATCCTAAGATTCCAGATTTAGTGACTTTAGAACAGTTTGGCAATATTATTTTTATTTGTTAAAAAGGCAAGGTAGACTTGGGGCTGATAAAAGATATTCTGAAAAGGTTCAGAGTAGATGCTAAGTAATGATTATAAGAATTCTGTTTCCTAAAGTTTATCACAAAAAAGGTGAGAGATTTTTTAAATAACTAATTTATTTCTGACATCCCAAAGAAACCAACCAGTGCTACAGAATTTTTCTTTTACATTAAGCTAGCTTGGCAGGGAAAAAAAATGGCGTGTACTCATTTCTTTATTTTCACCTGGATTTTCTAATATTTGTAAAACATAAAATCTTAAGCTCTTTTCTGTTTGGATTTGAAGAACCAAGCTTCCTTATCCTCCTGCATTTTAGCAATAAAGCAAAATAAAAAAAACCCAAAAGGTCACTTAGCATGAAATAACATTTCATCAGATGACAACTGTGAAAGCTATTCATTACTTGTTATGTAAAGCTTTATAAACTAAGTCATTTTGAAAATGAATCTTCAAGCCTCAACATGCAAAGGAGGGCAAAAGAAAATGAAATATATTTGTCCCCAGTGGAAAAGAACCCAGTGATTAACTGCTGTGAAGTAACAAATTCTGCAGGTACTAAAGTACTCTGGGGGAGGATAGATCAGCCTTTAAGAGAACTTACAGATTTTTCAGAAGTTCTTAATACTCTGGCTTAAAGGGGCAATAAAAAGAAAAGAAAGAAATCATTAAGCACAGCTTCCAAATGTCCTGCGTGAACTATTAAACTTCCACCCCAGAAAAATGCTTCACCCTAGAAAGTACCTAAGCCTAAACTGCTCCATTCCACAAACCCTTACAACGAACATTTCTGCAGGGAAAGAAGTCTTCCTCAGTGTACCATCCATGTAACTATCCACCTGTCCACTACCCTTTGCCAGGATATAGAGCTCTCTTTCTTTCAATTCTGCAAAATATTCATCCCCAAACCCTCTTTAAGAATGACTTCTTAGGGGGCGGAGGGAGGGAAGGGACAGACTGGGATTTCAAAATTTGTAGATACTGAAAGGTATATGTAGAATAGATAAACAAGATTATACTGTATAGCACAGGGAAATATATACAAGATCTTGTGGTAGCTCACAGTGAAAAAAAAATGTGACAGTGAATATATGTATGTTCATGTATCACTGAAAAATTGTGCTCTACACTGGAATTTGACACAACATTGTAAAATAACTATAACGCAATAAAAAATGTTTAAAAAATTAAAAAATAAATAAATAAACCAGCCACTCTTTAGCACAGACACACAAAAAAGAATGATTTCTTTTTTTTTCACATAAACCAACACACTCTCTAATCAGTCAGGATAATCCCTTTGCTATCTCTTTATTAGAACATTTGGTCAAGTATTGAATTTATGGGCAAAACTCTGCAGACTATTTGTTGATCCATTTTCTTCCATAATTTTGTAGGCTTTGGGGAATATTCAGGCATGTTCACTCAACAAATCCACATTATAGGCATATATGTGCCTATTAAGAAAGCATTCAGTCTTCAAAAAGAAATGTCAAAGTATCCTCTTGTGCCAATTAGCATGTGAGCAGTTCAAGAATGAGGGAATGGCACAAACTATTTACAGCTGAAAAGGAAAAGAGAGAAAAGAGGGAATACTAGCCATCAATTTCTCAATAGCAATTGTAACAGCAGAAAAAGGGGTGGAGGGATGGATACCAGAGACCATACAATGAAGAAAATCAGTTCATTTGCCTTGGGAATCACATTGGGTCTGATGTTAAAATTGGAAGAAACTGGGTGATTTAGAACTACGCTTCCTATCAGCGGAAAACAAACAAACAAAAAAACCACATGCACAAAAATTCATAAGCATGTTCCTTGTACTGAAAGTCTGTTAGCATGTCTCATCCTCCTTGACCTCAGTGCAACATCCATAGTGTTAACCAGCCATTTCTTTTTTTTTTTGTAGTATAGTCAATTTACAATGTTGTGTCAATTTCCAGTGCACAGCATAATGTTTCAGTCATACATATATATATATACATTCATGTTCATATTCTTTTTCATTATAGGTTTCTACAAGATATTGAACATAGTTCCCTGTGCTATACAGCCATTCCACCCTAAATGCACCTTATCTCGTCTGATTCGGAAGCTAAGCAGGGTTGGGCATGGTTAGTATTTGGATGGGAGACCTTTCTTCTTGAAATTCTCCAGCCAAGCAACACTACTGCAATTCACTTTGTCCTCTAACAGCCTACTATCCCCTTCTCATCCTCTCCCTTAAATGATGTCAGTCAGTCCCTGAATTGCTTCTTTGCATATCTGCTAAGCACTTCTTCCTATTCTTTTTCCATCATTGTATCCCAAGTTCCAATTCAATCACTATGATCAAAAAAGACAGCCTGACTAAAGGCCTGCTAATCATAAAATTAGTTGCTCAATCCGTCAAGACAGGTCTACTTTCTGAAATGCTCTTTCCTTTGCTTTCTGTGTTGCTTCACGTTGAAGTCCCCCACCTTCCTCTCTGACCTCTTCGCTCCTCTGTTCTCCATTTTCCTCTTCCCTTTCTTCCTCCCTTTCCCTTCCAGCTAGCCAGCACTGCCCACGGGCCAGTTTTCACTTTCTGCTCTTTAGTCATCCTCTGAAATTGTCCACTACATTCACCTTCACTTACATGCAAATGATCTCCAAACCATACATCTAGCCTTAGTACTGATTTCTCGTTTGTAAATCCTGATGAGCATTTCCCTTTGAATGCCCATTAATATTCCCTCTGGACAACTTACCTTTCATACAAACTATCATTCCACATTAGTACAACTGAAACTGAAAATTGATTTTTCCTCCCTTCACCTCTAAGAAATCTCCTCCCCTTTTTTTTCATTCACCTGTTACCTTCTGTTGCTATCATATCTCCAGTTTATTTGTTCCTAGTACCACTTAGTCTACCCAATCTAGTCTATCTTCTGTACAGTCTATCCTGCACACTGTATTAGTTTAAGACTTTATACTTCATAAATCAACTTACTAAAACACTTAAATGTTTTTTCTCATGTTAGTGAAAAGTGCTCTAGCAAGTCTATCTTTAACTCACTTAGAGTAAGGAAAAGGGGATCCACTTACTTCTCACTGTAAAAAAAATCCAAGACTGAAGGTAAGAGTTCTGGGTGTCAATTCAGACACGAGGGAGAAAAACGTACATGCTGGACTTAAAAGGAAAAGTGAGAGTGGGGAGAGCCAAGACAGGTGCCATGAAACTTTCATAACAGGAATTTTCCCTCAGTTATCTCTAGCAGTAGTTTTCAACCATTTTCCAATGACGAAACATGTAATGGTCATTCATATACAAATCATTCCCCCAAGTACACTCATTTAGCAACAAGTGAAAAAACTTAAATGGATTACGAAAGCTCTGCAATAATTTACAGGCACTACCACACGGGTGCTGGTACTGTTATTTCCATTCCAATGACTGACTTCTGTGAACTCTGTTCATTTCAGGTGAATACAGGCATGGACGGGAGTGATATTCAAATTATTCTTAAAGCACTTACTCAGCACAGACAGTGGCAAAAAAGACAGTGGCTGTTGTGAAAGCCAATATGGTCAACAACCTGTAAACTGACTGACAGACACAAGACATCCACAGCTACAAATTTTGGCAACTCCCAGCACACTAGCTGTCATCACTTCTCTCTTTTCCCCCACAGAAAGTACACAAAGAAGCAAGAGCAGGAAGCACACACTAAGACACACTCTCTGACTTGAATCTGCTCTAGTTTAATACAACAGTAGTTCATTCACAAACTTCATTACTTTATCGTATCACAGTAGTTGTAACAATGTACTTGTGAAATTGACACATAACATGAACACAGAGAATGCTAACCTTTCACAAAATCCTTTGTATGACATTCATCTCCCTGTGTAATACAGTACAACCCACTTAACCAAAAGCTTATTCTTTTCACTACAGCAAATAAAATTATTTTACTATTCCCAAAAATTGCACCTAGTTTCATACCTCTGCTTATGCCATGTGGAATATTTCACCTCCTACTATTCATCTAATTTTTATGGAATAGTCAAAACCCACTTCAACTCCCACCTTCAAAAAGACTTCACTGATCAATGATGAATTCAGTAACTCATAATTCCTCTGCATCACTATACTTTCCTATATTTCTTAGCCTTTTCATGGGCTCAAAGACTCACTGTACTTCCTTTTAGGTCCAGAAATATTGAAACAATACCTTAAACACAGCAGGCACTGAAACAATTTTTGATTGATAGCAACATCACTCTCACACCTCTAGGACACACAATATAATAAAGAAGAAATTACCTGATTCAATTAAATGCAAACAAAGGACTTCCAATGGATACTGTACAGTGGGGTAGATGTTTATCATTCCTTCACAGGCCTTCTTCAGCCTAGCAGTCTCATGAGGAAACTGGAAAATATGGAAGTAAAATAAAAAGCAGCAGTAAAATATGATTGTAAGCACTTTCCTAATTAGAATATAAAAGTCACATTACAGATGTTTAAAATCAACTTACTTTGGATAAGCACTGAATGAAATGTCTGTAAAGTACTTGGTGATCTTCACTAGGAATCTTGTCTGATAAGTTCAGTGCATTCTCAAAAGCAGTTAATAGCTGAAACAAAGAAACAGAAAGCTATCATCTGTAGCAAACTTAAGTGACAAAAATAACTAGTTGAACACAGAAAGGTCACTTATACAAACTACACCCTCAACTAATAACTGCGAATGTGTTTTACTGTCTAGCCCTGACGATTTCAATGGGGAAAAAATGCTTATTGAAGTTTGGAATATGTCCTAACTCCAACTGGCCAGCAGGCTGCACTGAACTAATTGGGGATAACTATAAACCAGTAACATTGACAAAACATTCTTGTAAGTGCTTGCTGCTCCCTTCTAAGTAATGGAGAGGTATAGTCTTGTACGTCAATGTAGCTGCCACTGCTCAGACCACTTTTAAAACATCTCTTCTGAAATCACCAGCACATTCTTTGGAAAATCTTCATGATAGCGAATCCTCAATCTCAAAAAAATTTTTTATGAACTTAAGTTATACTTTTACTAAAAGAAAACCAGAGATATGGCTGAACTATAATGAAATCATTTCTCTTACAGAGTATTATTAACTGATTTTGAAGAACATTCAACATTCCCAAAGGAGGCCTTCTAAATGTGTCCTGAGCAAGAACAGCAATACTAGAATCCAAGGCATGCACTTCAAAGAATATCATTCATTTGGTTACATAAGTTCTACATTTTTAAAAATGAATTTCCATGACTTTATAATGAAAACTCATAATACAGATCACTATCTCAAACTTTCCTTGCAAAGTATGGTATAAAGCCTACATGAATAAGTAAAATTTTACTACTCTGATAAAATTAATGATCTTGTAAAAAAAAAAAAGGAAGCTAACTTAAATAGTCTAGCACAGACGGTTTTTTAAAAAAGTAATGAAATTAATCCACATGGAAAAAATGACACTTTTTAACACACTTAAATTAAGCAGTATTCTGCAGTATCACTAGCATTCAAGGTGAAAATAATTCCCCCCTCCAAAAAAAATCCTTTTATCTGATTTTTAACACTTAGAAATCAAATCTTAAAATGATAAATATAATTAATTCTCTTTCATAGAGAAGTATAATATAGGTAATCTAAAAACACATTTTACTTTTTTGATATGTTTGATATTCTGGTAACTTACACTGTTTTAAGGAAATAAGGAAGTCACAACATGAAGACATGATTTAAGAGACGTTAATAAATCACCTAATTTTGTCACTGCTCAGTTTTTTCCACAACTGAATCTATACACAGATAAACCAATACACAAACAAATGCAAATCTTATTCTCACACTTTCGTCCCCAGCATTGAGGACGCTGCCTGACATAATATTTTCTGACTAAAGGAACAAATTAATGAGTGAATAAATGAACAAACATACAAAGAAATGAGGTTCCCATCCTATATAGAGCTTATAATTGCTTATGTTTAAAAATTCCATTCAATTTAAGAGGTGTACATCAAGTGGCTATTTACAATACTAAGAATGCAAACATTTTCTCCCATTCTGCAGATTGTCTTTTCATTTTGTTTATGGTTTCTTTTGCTGTGCAAAAGCTTTTAAGCTTCATTAGGTCCCATTTGCTTATTTTGGCTTTTTTTTCATTACTATAGGAGATGGATTAAAAAACAAATATTGCTGCAATTTATGTCAGAGTGTTCTGCCTATGTTATCCTCTAGAAGTGTTAAGAGTATCCAGTCTTACATTTAGGTCTTTAATACAGAGAAATTGAGTTTACTTTTAAGCTTACAAATATAAAAAAATAGAATGATGAAAATATTTTCCAGTTATGGTTCAAAACCAATGGGCTTTTTTATAGTCTTTTAAAAATTCTTTTCAATTACTTCAAAATGTGTACCTTAAGAAGGAGTATTTCTAGGTATAAGTACTCTACTAAATACAAACATTCTAAATAAAATATTCTAGTTCAATTGTTAAACCCCAAAGTAATTTAGTACTCCTAGTTCACAAACATAAAGAAACATACATTTAAGGTACAACATTTTAGAAATTACAGCAGTTTTGTAAAAGCCATTTTCATAGTTTCTTTTTCACAGTGATTAAGTAACTGATTTATTGTGGATTCTTATGAATACAAGGAAGTAAAATTCTGATACCCTGAATACTATTTCCACTCTGTCCAGACTTAGTATGAGACTGCAGACTGCAATTCTGACTTTACAAGGAAGAACCTCTATGAATTTAAAACTGACCATTTATAAAATATCTAGTCTGATATACAGTACTTTTCTATATTATATCATTATGTTTCCATTTTCCAAATTCAATTAAATAATCAATTTTCATGACACAAACTGCGGGGAATAAATGCATCAGTACCAGTTGCTGGGTCTCATTATTCTGATCCTCAGTGCTTTCAGCCAGCAACTGAGTCAATTTCCTCCACAGCTGATGAAGCTCTTGGTTGTCTGCACCTTCCTCCTGCCGTGTCTTTATCAATTTGTGCCATGTTCGGGCCACCTATCAAGAAGGAAATTGAAAATGGTTACTTTATCTTAATTATTAAAATGCAATTAAAAATATAAAATCTGCAAATCAAAGTATTTTTTATCTGTCTAATACGTAAAAAT